GGGACCGCCAGAGCCCAGGACCACGAAGCCCGGGACCGCGAGGCCCGGCCCGTTAGGCCCACTAAGGCCCGGGCCCGGGCCAAAATACAGCATTATCTATGGCAGATGTGGTGGGGAAAGCAATTTCGGGCACACACGATGAGTTCAGAGTAAGTGGCAAGAACACCTCTCATTCTCCTTTTTCCCGTTAAAGTTCCTTAAATATCATCTCACTATCTGACTTGTGTTTCAGGTGTCAGGTAGATTGTCCATCAGACCAAGAATGCTCCCTTATTGATTTTGTTGATCTGAAAGACTGTTTAGTTTTGGTGTTGTAATAGATTGCATCTAAACTTTGTTTCCTGTTGTTTGGTATTATGTTCTGTTTTGGTATTGTTGAACTGAGACTTTGTTTCCTACTATCTCCATCACTTCTAGCTACTAGACATATGGTGTACAATCTCCTATTTAAAGCTTTTCCTTTGAGATAATTTTAAAGAAATTGTTTTAGTTAGTATTTTACAGCGTTGTTTTAGTACTTTATTTTGCCGAGAAAATTCTGACCAAAGATGGGTTACTTTAAAGAGCCAAGATAAATTTAGAAACAAAAATAAGAATTAGAGGCTTGCTTCAACATTTTATTGGAGAAGCTCGCCAATGTCATCCGCTTTGTAATCCACTATAGCAATTAAAATGTTAAGGGAATTTGTTAGTTGAAACTCTTGATCAGATTGCATCAGGGCAGCCTTCAGGTTTGAATCTTACATCCTTTGATACTCTTACTCATCCTTGTTTAGAAGGACATTTGCCAATGGTAACTACCATCTCAAAGGTTCTTTCTCAACTTCTAGAGCATCTAAACTGCTTTGGAGAGAAGAGGTTGAGAGGGTGGAGCAGTTGTGGTTTCTAAAGCTTCAAGTTCACATAACTCTTGCAAGTAATACTTCTATCTGGTGGTATTATTCAAAGCGAAAAAAGTCCAAGTTAAAAAGTCAAATTTACATGAGCTACGGGGAAAATAAGAATATGAATTTGAGTAATGAAAAATAAAACGTACTTTACTAGAGCATGATGTGTCAATTGTAAACAGAGTAGTCCCATCAAATTTGGGATAAAGTAATTGGCAAGATATTCTCCTTCATTTTGATTTCCGGTAAAAGCAAAGTGATTTCCAGACATGATTGATCAGGTTTTGACTTTGTTAAAGAAAAAACATATATATCATAGGCCTATGATTCTACTCCATATGGGAGAAGTGCAGCAGCCACAATCCTTCCTTCTTCATTTAAAATGTTGTAAGTTGATGCAGCATTTCTCTGCATCACAGATGAAGTAAAGAATGTAAGCAACATAATATGGATGAGGAAGAAGATCAAGCTCTGATCAACGAATATGTGCAACAAAACATGATATATCTAACAAGCGACAGGCTAGCAAAACAAGGTTTTAGAGTTCAAATAGAAATTTGTTTTTTCATGTGAGTAGTCTGATATCACTCCACCAAAATATGTGTGATTCAATTATGGGTTCATTGTGTCTATTAAGAAACATCTTAAAAGTTTATTTTGTAAAGAACCACAATGAATCGGAAATAATATGGTTCAATGATTGCATTGAAAATTTAGAAAAGAATGAGGAAGAGAAAAGCCACTTGCAAAACATTGGCTGATACATGAAATGTTTATGCTACCATAATACTCATTCAGAAATTAACCAATAAGAAAAGCATTAAGTTAAATGTCACTGTTCTGGCATTGGTTTGCTGGCTGGCTAATCTAGTTGTATTTAAACTCCTTTATGTAGGTCCAGGAATATCAAAGAGTTCCACATGTTTCCATCTTCCAATAATAGTTTTTAAAAAAAAGTTCCAGAGACGTTAAGTAAATGGTGGGGGTATGATGCAGTAACCAAGAATAAATCTTGCTCAGAACTTCTATGGCTACCCATCTCATCTATCAGACACAATCTGACAATTACTGAAACAGTTGTGCGTAAACGATAATATAGCCCCTTCCTTTCTGTTTTCATAATAAACACAGATTGACAGAACCATATACTTACAGAATCAACTGCTTCCAATTTCATTCCAGTAGAACGAATAAAGGCACGAAGCTCAGGATTTACTGGTTGAATGTACCTCCCGCAGCCAAGAAGCAGAATCTCTGCAATGAAGTTATATTAGGAACAAAGACAAAGAAGAGCCTCATACCAAGAGTAGTATAAAATTTAGAAGATAATCATTCCTTGACGAGATCAGGAACAGAGTCAATACCCATTAGGTTATATGATAATCAAAACACACGTTAGATTTTTCTGTATATTTTTTTATGTCATCAAAGATTTTATAAATGCTTGCACTTGGCCAGTGCGACAAAACATAACTACAGATTGTGAAAATCCCCTATTATATCTAAAATTGCATCAACATCCTGTACAATAACCAGGTTGCACCAAAAAGCTAGCAACAACATGCATCTTTGTTTAAGGCTATGTAAATTTCTCCTATGGCCTTCAAAAATTCCGTCATTGCTTTCAAGCCAAACAGACCACCAAATGGCTTGAGGAATGGTAATTAATTCCGAGTCTTTAGTGATTTCTTGCCCAACCCTTCTTTGGTCCAACATTGCAGTAGCTCCAAGTGGATTTGGCATGGTCCAGGACATGCCAGGGATTCAAGGACATGCTCCACAGTTGACTAGTAAACAATGCAAAAAGAGGAGACCAACATCTTCCACAAAGAGTTAGTCATGGTTTTTCTGTACAATTCGATTAAGCAAATTCATAACTAATTATGGTGTCCGGGCCAACTTGCATGCACCTTGATTATTCTAGTGGGTACCTACTAACTCCTACCACACAGATACCGGCTAATTCTACCCACCAAGAGTTACTCATGGTTTTCACCTACTTCATTGACCACTACGCCACACCCGTCGATGCATGATTTTCTCAAAAAATTTATGCTTAATTTTCCTTCTACCCAAACTCTTCAAAGCTAAGGGTGTTTGTTAAACATCCATAGTTCTCTTTCTCCGGAGGTCAAACAAATTACTGCATCCTGTTCAACTTAAAATACTAATGATTTTTTAACAAGTAGTAGTACTTAGACAAACATCACCCAGCCCTCTTTTTTTAAAGTGCAAAAACCACACAAACTTAATTGCAAGATACTTTGAAATAATCAATCAACCTTGACCACCAGGTTTTTTCCTCTAACAAGTTATTGGCAAACACAAACCAAACAGAGCAGAATATCAACACCGCACAGCTGCAACTATTCTTCCTAATACTAAAATTTACCATCATTTTTCCGATCAAAAATAGGTTTATTAATCAAATATTTTAAGAATAGCTAGATCATACCTTCTGCCAATCTATTTTACATACTTTTTCTTTTTATTCATGCCAAGAATATTAATCGCCATGAATACTCAGAATATCTAATTACCATGAATAATCATGGCTACTTCTCCAAGATCTTAAATCAGTATAAAACAACTATAGTTTTTGACTACTGGCTGTGAGACAACCTCCCACATATTAAACTTTGCACCTTTAACTGGTTGATTAAAATTTTAAATCATTAACCCCCTTGAATTACAAATTCAAGCTTTTTCCTTGATTTCAAACAATACTAGCACAATACAGGTGACATAAAGGGTATAACACTTTTCACAAATGATGTATCAAAGAAGAAAGATTAGCCTATGTTAGATGGCACATCGAGTTCAGCCAAGAGAACCCAACCAAAGCAAAGTAGTAAATCGTTCTCACGCAGGAAACTGCACCAGACAAATTTGCAGCAATCTTACAGTGTGATGTCATCAGAACTTGCCACACACTAGCATAGTATTTTCCCCTTTTATGTGGAAGAAGAAGCATAAAGCTGTGTACCACTAAAGATTTCAGAACATTTCAATCAATGCTGCTAACTTGAAAGGAAATAGGGTAAATAAATTTTTAAAGACATAAAAAATAAGATAAATTTGCTTGGTCCCTGCTAGAAAAGGAACAACAAATTAGACATGAAAGGTCCAACAGAATGAGCACCATAACAATGTTGTACATGAACATGAAGGTAGGTGCAGAGAAACATCAGCTGAGCATCGCATTCTTCAAAAATAGACTGACTGGCTACTCACCTGGAACTGGCCGCACAGTCTGGAAGATAGATAAGCTGCATGAAGCACGCACCAATGGCATGTCAGATGTGACTGTATAACAAATTGCAAAAGGAAACATCTGATATTTTTTGAGGGGAAAAAGCGTTTCATAAGTGATATACATGCAATATAACTAAAGAGTTGAACTTTGTGGCACAGTAAAATGTCCAAAATTATGTAATACAAGGGCTGTGGACATGGTACTACTCCCTTTAGCTTTACCCCAAATTAAATCTCTCGCTTTGACCAGGCTAATAGCCTGCTTCGCCAAACTTCCAAAATTTGCTTATTCTGAAAAGTGCTTTTTATCAGAAAAATGCTTTTCGAAAAAGTACTTTTGGAGAGTAGCAATTTGTGTTTGGCTAAATTTGATATCACTTTTGCGAATATTAAAACAGAAACTTGTGTTGGCCAAGATTTCAAAAGTGCTTACGGGGAGAAGTTTCCCTAAAAGCTTGGCCAAACACCTCAACTATCTAAAATAAGCACTTTTGGCTTTGCAGAAGCTAGGCCAAACTAGGGCTGTGCATTTGGATCGGATATCCGAAATCCGATCCGATCCGCTCAATTTCGGATTTCGGATTTCGGATTCGGATTTGATTTATTAAAATTTCGGATTTTCGGATTGGATTCGGATTTGTATAGTTTGAACCCGATCCGATCCGAAATCCGAATTTATTAAGGGAAGTATAAATACTAATTTTATTGTTAGGGTTAGCCGGTTAGGTCTTATTTCATTCTGCTGCTCCATCACTTCACGCCTCACACCCAGAGAGGCAGAGACTGCTGGCTGCTGCTCACTTCACGCCTCAAGGCTCAAGCTGCTCCTGCTCGTCGCTTCCTCTATCTCTTCTTTGTGTTCCGGCGACCGGCGACCGCACTGGTAAGACACTAAGACTCACTCCTTCTCTCTCGTTCTCTCTCTTTCTCCCCCTTCCTTAGAGAAGGATGACTTATTTTCTTATCTGTGTGTCTACCTTTTTGGGCTTGTTCATGTTTATTTGCTTTACATTTTACAGTATGAAGGAGTATGAAGAGAAGGCAGTGTCACTGGCACTGAATCGCCCCAAGCTCCAAGATCTCACCAATAGACTCAAGGCTGTTCGTCTGAGTTGCCCTCTGTTTGATACAGGACGCTGGGTGAGTGATCCAACACCATTATACACGACTGTTATATTTCTATGCTTATGAAGTCATGTACCTTAGATTATACACGCGTTACGATTGTGCTATGATTTACTTACACACTGGTTTTTCTTTCTATGCATCATTAGGTACGGAATCTGGAGCGATCTTATTTTAAGATGTGGAATCTCTATTGCTCTGGCCAACATCCTCAGCCGTTCAAAGTGACAGAGAACAACATGGAATTTCCTTATGACTGCTAGATGTAAAAACAATAGTCTAAACGGGATTATAGATAAATCAAAGAGCATGTGAAGAGCTATTTATTCTAAATAAGTGTCTCGCTATTATGGTATNAGTGTCTCACTATTATGGTATTCAATGGTGAGTTTCAATCTTATCTTTTGTTGTTGAATTTGAAACTCTCATGAAGTATATTAGTTGTAATTAGTATGCCCATTCTAGCTGTCCAAAATCTCGAGTTTACCCTTTGTCCAAGGTAAAAATTCAGTTACATGACCACACTACCTTTACCTAAAAAGGCCCAATGGTGAAGCAGTTGCGCAATGGTTGGAAAGGAAGGATCATTATTCCCTCTTTGGGTAGTTAGTTTGTATTTTTACGGAGGTGAATGGTTCGTCTTGATTGTATTTGTTTATCTACAAGCAATTGTTGATGTTTACAGCTTGACTTTATGCAGGCCTCAGCTGATGGATGATCCTGGTAAAATCATTGAACAGTGATTAATTTGTTAATTGAAAGATGCTACCGAGGTTTACAGGTATATGAACAATTACAGAGGTACTCGAGAATACGTTTCCTCGAGAATATGAAGAAAAAAGTGAGTTTGAAGCTTATTAATTGAAAAAGTTAAAGGACAAAGGTATAGTAGTCACTAAAATAAACAGAAATGATGGTTTAACTGTTCTGAAGAGGAGGTTTAACCATTTGGTATCAGCCACCTACCCACACCTACCCACCCTGACTAATGCCGAGTTGCATGTTTCTCTCATTTACTTAGGGCTGTGATTTACTGATCCTCTCATTTTTTACTAGTGCAGTGTTGCAGAACTTGAAAGCGTGCCAGGAATCAGGATTGAGTGCGATGGCCAGAGAAGTTGGAACGTGGAACTCTTTTGTGTAGTCTATTAAGGAATTCTGGTCGAGGATTTCAGTTCATTAGACATATATTTGAGATTTCAGTATATTTTGTTTTGTTATGAAGATTGTGTTTTGTTTATGTAATGGATTCTATCACAAGAATTAGGATTTGCAGCTTTCCTTTTCTTGTTGAATTATAATTATTAACTATGTGTATGTCAATTAGGACTGATGTTCGAGAACTTTGTTCACAAGAATTAGAACTATAGAGATGACCAAGAACTATGTGGATTAGGACTGATGTTCACAAGAATTAGAACTATGTTGAATTGAACTGTTGTTTATGTTAATTTTGTTCTGTTATGAACTGTTGAATCCGATCCGAAAATCCGATCACCAAACCGATCCGAAATCATGCAATCCGATCCAATCCGATATAATTCGGATCGGATTCGGATTGCGTTTTGTGGAATCCGAAATCCGAAATTTCAATCCGAAATGTGCTAAATCCGATCCGATCCGATCCGATCCATGCACAGCCCTAGGCCAAACAGGCTACAAGTTAAAAAGTGAGTGTCGACTATTGTATAGTTTATTATTCATCGGAAGGGGCACGTGAAGATATTAGTAATTTTTAGCTTTGCAGACCATAAGAGGAAAAAAGTTACATAAAATAGTGTAAAATTTGGATCCCTGTAATTACTGTTTTTGTTTGACATATGACAGAATTTTCTTTCAAAAGAAATTGGACATTATGAAGGGAATATCAACTAAAAAGAGGAATACAACTTGGAAGGATGGGACATTCTTTCACCCTGCTGTCACTTTTTGGTCATCCCACTGAGCTACTAGGCATCAGCTCCTTAGCTTCAATTGACTACAAGCTAAACCAGACTGAACCACTTCGATTGGCCAGTCCAATCCAAATGTATAAAAGGTTTCCCATGTCTAACCAGCTTATAGTACATTCAAGGAAGGTACCAGGTTCAATGAGGAGCAAAAGTAAGTACCTTTCTGAAGTAACCTCCGAAAGTTTCTTGGGATGCCAAGACATTAACAAGTTGCCAACACAAAGCAAGCTACCTTCATAATGTAGACCATTAACTTTGAACCCGGTATCAGTAAACCTATAAGGAGCCCAAAAAAACTATTAAAATAATCAGGTACTGATACATATTAACATGTCTTGCAATCCAAGAAAAAAGTGCCACAACCAAATTCTTGTAAGAAAGAAAATCTGTTAACACGAAAATTTTGAGTCGGCACGGACTGAGGCCATCTGGCCATCTTCTTAGGCTATCTGAATTGAATCATGACCACAGCAAAATTGACCACGATACGCAGCCATGGGCACCCAGAAGAGACCCTTTGAGGCTTAGTATAAATCGTGGCAATGTGGCCTAAATGAGATTAGCCCAACATCCATCCTAATGGATTAGTAAAGGGAAAAGTCATATAGGGTTTTACTCTATGACAACCCAGTCAAGTAATTGCCTCTCATTGAAGTGGGAAACGAACATGTCAGCTGAACATGGAGCTAAAGGCGGTTGGTGACTTAGTCAAGATGAAAAAGGCAGAATCAAGCAAGCAATGAACCATCTCAACATTAACTAAATGTGCCGTACTTTTACGAAACAAAAGCGAGCACGTTAAGAAGGTGGTTTAAATGACTGACCCTGTAGCTATAAATAAGACCATTTGTACATAGAATAGATATCATCCATCACACATACAACACATATCAACTCTTTTCTATTAACTCAATTCGTTACAAATTTCTATACACTTCAAGCTTTAACATCTCTCTTAGTCCAAGCATTTACATCCTCTCTTCACATGCTTTCATCTTAGACTCACGCCAATCATACCCAAGACTTTGTTACCAGGATTTTGAAATAACCTAGGAACCCATAGTAGGGACCAGAGTCCCCTCCTGAATGTTAATCATCTGATTTTACTGGGAATCACTGGTGTGAATTAGACCACCTCATCCAGCCCAGCAAACTCAGTATTTTCACCAACATGGTAGTACAGGGGCTTAAAATGGAAATGATACCAAATTACCATTACTATGAAAGCAGGGCATTAAGCAATAAAATTAACAAAAGAGAGCTAAAGAAGCCATCCACCCAGAGGGTTATGAGGCTATATAGTATATCTATTGAACCAGCTTGGCAAAATTTAAGACGTAAAAGCACAAAACAGTCCACAAGCCTAGTAATACTAACAAGATAGCCCACTAAATTTTATAGCTTGATTTGTACTCCCCAGAAATATCATACAACCAGACATTTTTCTTAAGGACCACATCTTGACTCACCCAAAGTCAGTACGAACATTTCAAGATTAGTACGTGTGGTATTTGCCATATGGTGTGGGTGATTTCCTAAATTTTTTGATAAAGGGTGTGGGTGTTTTTTTAACTTTTCTTAGCTTTTTGCGGTCCAAAGGCAATGCAAGTTTTTGGTTAACACCTATTGTAAAGCTAAACAACAACTGAATAGCAACTTTAATTCGCTGATTTCTCCCCTCCTCCAGGATTCTTTAAAGCTGAGAGAAAACACTGTGTTTATTAGTAACGGTCTTTTCTATCTACATTTCTATATATGGGTCTCCTTTTTCCATCCTTCATGCCCCTCCACAAAAACAACAGCCAAGCAAATTTAGAAAGCTAGTAGGAAATGGGAATAACTTTGAAATAAGTCTCCTTTCTTTATGTTTGATATAAAAAGTAAATATTTATCATTTGATAAGGCTGATTATCAGAAATATAGAGCAATAATGACATTTTTGATTGACAATTGAACAAATATTTGAAAGGAAGTAAGGCACAAAGGGTAAAAAATAAATCTCTGCTAGTATGTTATTAAACTGCAAATGTAAGATGAAACTAAAAGTTCTATACGCTCACTGAGACAATAAACATCCGCAGCAAATACATAAGTGGTCAACTAGCATGCCTAAGCTGCGTGACGAATTCTAACCAAAGTAATTATGCCATTACTTGCCTCATTGAAGTAATTGCAATTTATTAGTTTCTGAACTTTGAAGAGTTTTGCTCAAATAATGCTAAAAAAATTGGTTGAGTTAGCCACCAGATACGAGGCAAAAAAAGAAAAAAAGCTATCTGCCGGTGGAGGTAGTAGGTACCGATGGAACAGTCGAGCAAGCTGGCTCGGTCACCAGAGTCATAAAAAAATTGAACACTAGATACGACGTAAGATACCTAAACTAGAAGAAAACAAAATTGCATAAATTGTTCTTCAAATGAAATTTAGCTCAAATAGGTCATAAATACTCCTAATTTGACAAGAAAATAACCGCATACAGAAAATAAGTAAGAAACTGATTAAAGAGGGAAGAATAGGGAAGTACTGTTGGAAGCGCAATTGATCTTCAGGAACATTATCGATAAGATTGATTTGATCGTAAAGTGAGAATGCTCGTCTCAGTGAAGGCAACGGTTGATTCAACGGCATATGGTTAGGGTTTGGGGTTCCCTTCCTCATAGCTCGCATCAACGCCGGCAGCGTCGCCACTGCTTTCTGTCTCACCGCCATTTCTCCCCTACCTTCCCACTTTCCTTCTTTCCCATTGAGGTTCCAGAAGAAATTAAGACATCGTCTTTCTATTTTGACTTTCACCCCCTAAGCTTTTGCCTATCGTGCAATAACACAACTCAATTATGTGGAACACCGTACTAACCCTTAAATTTTCTTTTCTAGGAACCCTTTATTTATTCTTTTTGTCAGTTGGGACAATAATACAATCAAAATTTGCCCATTTTTACCTTCTTACTCAGTTTGGCCCCCGAGCCATGAATATACATGCAAGTGCCGCAAATGAGTGCCACTTTATAGCTTGTTGGATTGTTGTTATAATACGAATCTAAATGCGATTGACAAGAAATTAAAAGATAGAATTTGAGAATAGACCCAATAAAATTATAAATACAAAATAATTAAAATAATTAATTATCCAATAATTACATAACAAAATAAATCTAAATTATAGGAATACCTTCAAGTTGAAGTGTGATTCCACTTGAAAAACATATCTTGAATAAAGTTGTCATCAACAATGGCAAATTACCATTATATCATTCATCAAAATTAGTTCCCCTAAAATAAAAATCTTAAGGGCTATTTATACTGGAGTGGGTACTAAAAATGAACCAA